ATACATATATATATATATATATATATATATATATATATATAAATGTAGGCACATGATAGATGGAGAGTTTTTCCAATTTCCCTCTTCACTCAGTGGCGGTGGACAAAAACACACAGAACTCATCAAATATACTTACGACAGTTGTCTCTGATCTTCTTGACCAGGTCACATTGCTGAAAGGTTAAAAAGACATCAACACTTTTAAGTATTTTTCTTTGTAGTCAGTGAAATTTAAAGCAAAAACACAAGAGCTTACCACAACACCTGGTCCTCTTGGTCCTTTGGCACCCTGTGGGAGCAAAAACAACAGCATTAACAGAAAACAAAGGATGGATGGACATCAAGCTCTACACCAGCCTTTGGTCATGGTCTATTACAGTGGTCCTTAACACTGGTCTTGGAGGGTCACTACCCTGCATGCGTTGGATGTTTCTCTGCTTCAGCACGCCTCTTTTAAATCAGTGTGTGATCAGCAGGCCTCTGCAGAACACAGAATTTATTCAACAATTGAATCAGGTGTGTTGGAGCAGGGAAGCATGCAAACTAAAACATGCAGGAGAGTGGCCCTCAAAGACCAGGACTGAGGACCCCTGGTCTATAACACTGGTCTATAAGTAATATTGCTGGGCTGACTCGTTGGTGAACGGTGCTCCTGCTGGAGTCTCCATGTTGCCTCTAAACATTTGCAGTTTCGTCAGAGGCTCGCAGACTTGTGTCTTGAACTTTGAACGAGTTCAAAATATTTGTGCAACTAATCTTTTCTATAAATAGTCACCAAGTTGTCACAGGCAGCCGAACCCATCTCAGTTTAGATTGCACAATGTGTAGCAGAAGTGTTAGGATGCTCACATAAGGCCCAGGATATCCAACTTCTCCCTTCTGTCCAGATGGACCAATGTTCCCAGAGACACCCTGGAAAGTATCAAAACAGACACATTGTTCACATTTAACAGAATTTGGGTGTCAGTATCACTTTAAGCCTTTAACTTTGATGCACGGACAGCAAAGACTGACGCATGGTGTCCAGGATGTTGGTGAGCTGAAACCAGGGCTTAATTTGAGCAGGATCCTGCAGGATCCGGGAACTCTTATTTTTCATTCAACCTTTATTTAGACAGGTAAATCCCATTGACAGGACAATTATTAATTAGTCATTTTGACAGGATGCATTCCAGTAACTGTTTGCTTGGATCTAACAACTCTCAGACTTACTAATAATAAAGTTATGAACAAATATTACTGCCTTGAATAAATAAAACTTATATTGGATATGTAAACAGAAAATTATTACATAAACACTAATTTTAAACATAATAGCCTTAAAAAAATCTCTGCCCCTAAAAGTCCAAAGTCATCAAGTAATTTCATTTAAAAAAAATCAAAAATATAATTAAACAGCACAACTAAATTGCAAATCAGTTTGACAGTTTAAGTGGGTCATTAATAACATTTTTATTATTTATTAAAAATACGAGAGAAATGTATTATTCGCTTTACATATCAAAACAACAGTGCTAATTTGTCAAAATAACAGCGATCAAAAATGTCGAAAAGACAGTCCAAGTCACTTTCATTAAATAAAGGCTTCTTGTTGTCCTTAGTTGGACAACCAAGAATTGAAGAACCTGAAGGCAGTGGAGAATGAAGCTGGAGCGGGCGAGTGGTGTGGGTGAAAAGAGGGGGGGTAGGATGCTTGACAGAAGCGGAGTGTTTACAAATGTAAGTAAACATAGATGTTTAAAACCTGTTAAAATACACCAAAATGCAGGAAATTGCATTTTCTTTATTCAAAATTTTCTGACCCCCCCATACACACACACTGGCTCGCCCGTTATTTGTGTTCCAGCATTGATCAGTTTACAAATTAAGCCTCGGCTGAAACTATTCAAGTATTAATGCAGATGTTTGGGACAACACTGTCAGGATTTCACTGCTGGAACGTAAACGTGGATGAACGTCTTACTCGTTGTCCCTGGTTTCCTCTGGATCCAGGTCCGCCTAGAGTGCCAGAACCTCCGGCCTCGCCCTGAGAGGAGCAAATGAAAGCAAACAATCAGAATCCAGAAGTAAATCAATTCCCTGCTTGTGCAGCTTTGATCAACAGATTTAAACCTTTATTACCTTTAGTCCAGGGTATCCAGGGAAACCTATATCACCCTTAAAGGAACAACAAATATTTATTGATAAATGTATTAGAACAGAATCAGTGCTTTTTACTATCCTCAGTACTTCAGATGTATTTATATTCTTTTCTGACACAACATCTTCAATATAAAAGGTCATTTACCTTTTTTCCTTTTGGACCTGGAGTACCAGCACCATCTCTACCATCTTGACCCTGGAAGGAAAACAGGCCCATTAAATAAATAAAAATAAAAGCAGTAAACTTTGTCTTGGTTAGAAGCTGCGCAGGCTCTCAAACATCTAGATGTTACCGTACGTTTTCCTCTGAATGAGAACCAGTTTATCTCACAGGGGAAATAGTCTTTGAGTAAAACACACCACATCTTTTCTAATGAATATTAGGAACGTAATTCAAGACTGGACTGGAGAAAGTGGTCCTCAGACGTCGACCTGGGCCTGTCCGAAGCTCCGCTCCAGCTGAGGTCGTCGTATCAATGTGACTAAATTATTACCAGCGTTTATTTTGGTTGTTTCAAACAGTTTCACACACAGCGGCTTCATGGGGGTCAGGAATGTAGTTTCATTCTTACAGGCTCTCCACGGGGGCCCGAGGGCCCGACGTCACCCTTGATTCCTGGCTCTCCTGGCTCGCCCTGCGAAGAAACAACGAGAAACAGACTCGGAATGAGAATAAAACGATGCGTGAAACGTTTCTTTGGGTTCTGCGCATTTAATAAAGGCCATCTGCTTCTTCTGCAGGCAGGACCTTAAATCTTCAGCTGCTCCTTCCTGTTTGCTCAAAGAGGCTCCGAGTGGAGCGACATGAGAGAACTCAGCTCAGAGTCATGTGTTTAGAAATAAAACAAGAGCACGAGACGAGTCACTTCCAGTCTCGGTCAGTACCTTACGCCCAAGAGGTCCTCGTCGACCTTTGTCTCCAATTTGACCTGGGTCTCCTCCGCGACCCTGGACCATGAAACATGACGACAGCAGAGTTTATTTGCAGGTTTGTCTTTTTATAGAAAGTGACCCAATTCGGTTCACTCACCCTCGGCCCGGGGTTCCCGTCTTCTCCTTTTTGTCCTTTTGTGCCGATTGGTCCACTTGAACCCTTGAAAGGGACAAACAGAAATTTGTTTCATTTAGGAGTTTGGAAATCAGCAAACGTAGATTCAACTGACGAATCATACAAGTGGCCGTGGGGAAGGCTTGGTTTGTGTATTTGACCAGATATGATTTCCTAAATGTTGAGGAGAGGAACAAACTTACTCTGGATCCTGCAACACCCAGCTGGCCCTTCTGACCTGCGTCTCCCGAGGGTCCGGCGCGTCCCTTAACAAAATCAAGGAAGAGTCACGGTTGTTGCCAGCGTCGTGACTAAAGTTACTCCGATGAGGCTGAAATGATTCCTGACATCATTAGAAGAGACTTACAGGTGGTCCAGGTGGGCCTCTTCTGCCATCCAGTCCCTAATAACAAAACAGTTTTGGTTTTAGAAAAAGGGGAAATTAGGGATTAAAAGTGATTTAAAGCAGAACAAAGGGTAGTTTACATTTCTTCCAAGTTGTCCAGGAGCTCCTTTCCTTCCATCCTCACCAGGGACACCCTGTCATTTTAAAACAGTTAGAACTCCACCTTTCAAATAGGACTGATGAAATACGTTTAAAGGGTTTTGAAGCTCAGGGTGTCCTACCACCGGTCCAGCATCACCAGGATCTCCTTTAGGTCCTTCTCGGTTGTTGTCCCGCCCGCTCGTTCCCTGTTGGACAGATGACAACACGACGAAAACATGACTAAAGCAGCAAATACAAAGAAATCCACTTTGATTATTAAAAAGTAAACCCATCACTAACAGGGTCTCCTCTGAGTCCTCTTTGTCCAATGTCTCCTGCTTGTCCTTTGATGCCTTTAGGACCCTAAAAAGAACAAAAATACAATTTATTAGTATTGTGTAGATGCTTGGTTTGATTGAAATAAAAGCTGTCAAGCTCTTCAGTTCCTCCACCTTCATCAGCCAAATGCACAACTGACTTGACCTCATGTTGAAAAGAAACATCCAAACATTCAGGATAAGTCTGTGCAGCCAAGTGAAACTGGTGTTATTTATCATTTAATTGTAGTGAACATCCTCAAAACACTGGTAATTTTTTTAATAGCGTCAGTATTTCTGTGGTTGCTGGTTCAGATATTAATTGTTTGTAGCTCCAGGACCTTTAAGCTGTTTTAAAGGCATGAAAAGTCTGTTTTTGTTGTTTAAATTTGATTAAAAAAATAAATAAATTAAAAAAGGTGTTTAAATGTTACTTTTCTGTTTGCGAGTGTTGTGATGGGTCTGTTTGACAAATGTTAGTGTTTTTTAAATTAAATCTGTGGGAGTTTTTCCACTTCATAAACATGTTTTGCGTGTACTCTGCTGCAGAGAGTATGAACCCTGTACTCCTCCATCTCCATCTTCTACCTTCAGAAACCCAGACCTCCCTCTCCCCAGCAACATTCTCCAGCTCCTCCTGGAGGACCCTGAGGTGTTCCCAGAGAGGATCTATGATCCATGCAGAGAGTTCTGGGTCTGCCCCGGGGTCTCCTCCCAGTGGAACATGACCAAAACACCTCCAAAGGGAGGCGTCCACATCAGATGAACCTCCTCAACTGACTCCAGAGGAGCAGCAGCTCTACTTTGAGCTCCCCCAGGATGACGGAGCTCCTCCTCCTGTCTCTAAGGCTGAGCCCCCCAAATCCAGGATTTTGTTATTTTGGTCCTGATCCATGACCATGCTACATTAATACAGCTTTAATCTTCTACATTTTGTTTCCACACTCTTGGCAATTGCTGTACGCCGGATGTTCCTGATGCAACCTGGACACAAACCTCAAGCTTCAGGGTTACAAGACCATGACACTCACCACAGCAGATCTATGATCCTTATTATGCTCAGATATACTGGAATGTTCAGGTCATAAAATTAGAAATCATAAAAAAGTTTATTTATTTCAGTAATTCCATTCAAAAAGTGAAACCTGTATATTGTAATAAATTCCCTAGTTTAACTGCATGTTCAGAGCAGGATCTGTTTAGTGCTGAAGTCAGTGTTTTTTACATTAGGCACCTTGTTGGACAACTAAGGGGTCCTTGGGAATATATAAGTTTTTCACTGTGATTCTGGTTCTTTTTACATTGATGCTCGTCTGCGTTTGTGGTAAAGGTGAGCTATAGTTGGCAACAACTGCTATTTAGTTATTTCATATGCGAATGAAATGGCTAATCTGCAAATTAAGCGGTGAATTTCAGCGCTAATATATGTTAGCATGTTGGCATCACTTGTGTGGGAATGTCATGTAGGGTTTTACTGTTCTAACTTGCTAACATTCATGTAAGTGGAAGCTAAGCCTCAAGTTACCATGTGCTTGATTCAGTCTTCTCGGTTATATTGCGTTTATTTCAGATAACAGACAGATTCAGAGACAGGCTCTAGAGAATAAGACAAACTACAAGCGACCTATCAACGTACACCAAGATGTATGGAAGTTGGATTGTGCTTAATTAAATCTGACGACTGTTCTATTGTGTTTGGCCTCAGTCTCTGTGTGGATGAGGTGTTCCTGTGAATGCAGTCCTAGCTATCCACCACATATATTCATTCATTACACACAGACTGATATATTTCAAATGTTTATTTTAATGTTGATGATTATAACTGACAACTAATGAAAACCCCATATTCAGTACCTCAGAAAATTAGAATATTGTGAAAAGGTTCAATATTGAAGACACTTGATGCCACACTAATCAGCTAATTAACTCAAAACACCTGCAAAGGCCTTTAAATGGTCTCTGTCTAGTTCTGTAGCTACACAATCATGGGGAAGACTGCTGAATGACAGTTGTCCTAAAGACGACCATTGACACCTTTCACAAGGAGGGCAAGACACAAAAGGTCATTGCTAAAGAGGCTGGCTGTTCACAGAGCTCTGTGTCCAAGCACATTAATAGAGAGGTGAAGAGAAGGAAAAGATGTGGTAGAAAAAAGAGTACAAGCAATAAGGGATAACTGCACCCTGGAGAGGATTGTGAAACAAAACCCATTCCAAAATGTGGGGGAGATTCACAAAGAGTGGACTGCAGCTGAAGTCAGTGCTTCAAGAACCACCACACACAGACGTATGCAAGACATGGGGTTCAGCTGTCACATTCCTTGTGTTAAGCCACTCTTGAACAAGAAACGGCGTCAGAAGCGTCTCACCTGGGCTAAAGACAAAAAGGACTGGACTGCTGCTGAGTGGTCCAAAGTTATGTTCTCTGATGAAAGTAAATTTTGCATTTCCTTTGGAAATCAAGGTCCCAGAGTCTGGAGGAAGAGAGGAGAGGCACAGAATCCACGCTGCTCGAGGTCCAGTGTCAAGTTTCCAGTCAGTGATGGTTTGGAGTTTCATGTCATCTGCTGGTCTTGGTCCACTGTGTTTTCTGAGGTCCAAGGTCAACGCAGCCGTCTACCAGGAAGTTTTAGAGCACTTAATGCTTCCTGCTGTTGACCAACTTTATGGAGATACTGATTTCATTTTCCAACAGGACTTGGCACCTGCACACTGTGCCAAAGCTACCAGTACCTGGTTTAAGGACCATGGTACCCCTGTTCTTAATTGGCCAGCAAACTCACCTGACCTTAACCCCATAGAAAATCTATGGAGTATTGTGAAGAGGAAGATGTGATACACCAGACCCAACAATTCAGAAGAGCTGAAGGCCACTATCAGAGCAACCTGGGCTCTCATAACGTCTGATCAGTGCCACAGACTGATCCACTCCATGCCACACCACATTGCTGCAGTAATCCAGGCAAAAGGAACCCCAACTAAGTATTGTGAGCTGTACATGCTCATACTTTTCAGTTGGCCAACATTTCTAAAAATCCCTTGTTTTTAAAATTGTTCGTAAGTAATGTTCTAATTTTCTGCTATACTAATTTTTGGGTTTTCATTAGTTGTCAGTTATAATCATCAACATTAAAAGAAATTTAAACATTTGAAATATGTTAGTCTGTGTATAATAAATGAATATAATATATAAGTTTCACTTTTTGAATGGAATTACTGAAATAAACTTTTTCATGATATTCTAATTTTATGACCAGCCCATATATCTTACAATAAGTTATACTGACCTTTAACCACACCATACCTTTCCTTTATATGTACATTATAATTATTGCTATGTTGTTACTTCATCAACCCACATGTTATTGTATTTTCTCTTTTGTACTTTTATTATCTTACTGCTATTGTAACTTTGTATAGTACCTGGTAACTGCTCTACAGAGTACATGTGTGAATGAGAGGGATGCCCGTTAAACAGTGGATCTACAAGGAGCAGAGGTTACAAAGGTGCAGAACTTCAAGGACTTGGGGTCCACTGATCAGGAAATTGGGGAATGTGGTAAAGAGGTGACGAGTCCAGGTAGGAAGTGACAAAAGAGTGGCAGCAATGATCAAAGGAAAAGTTTATAAGGCAGTGGTGAGACCAGCTTTGTTGAAGGATTTGGAGACAGAGACATGGAAAAAGACAGGAGACAGAACTGGAAGTGACAGATATTAAGAAGTTGAGGTTCTCCATAGGAGTGACAAGGATGGATAAGATTATGAATGAGATCATCAGAGGTGCAGCACAGGTTGAACAACTGGGAGATAAAATTAGAGAGTCCAGACTGAGGTGGTTTTGACATGTCCAAACCATTGTCCCAGAGGGAGGACGGTGGTTTGGACATCTCCAGAGGAGGGGCAGTGTATTAGTAGCAGGATGTTAGAAAAGCAGCTGCCAGGAAACGGACAAAGAGGAGATATGTGGATGCAGTTAGAGAAGACATGGAGGTAGTTGGAGTGAAGACAAAAGACACAGAGGACAGAGTGAGAAGGAGGAGGATCACTCGCTGTGGAGACCCTGAGGAGGGAACAGCTGAAAGAAGAAGACCAGGATACAGCTAAGACAGTTAAAGACTTTATCCTATTTCTCTTACTCTCCTGCCGGGACTTCCTCTGTCTCCAGGAGGTCCAGCAACTCCACTTTGACCCTGCAGACAAGTTGAAGACACCAGCTTAGGTTCACAATCTTGTACAAATTACAAGTTTTGTTACACAAATAAAAATAAATTTATTCAGTGGGTTAAACATATTTTTATGTCATCTCGTTAAAGAAACTAAATGTGTGACATGTTTACCTCCTGTCCGTTGATGCCATCAAGTCCAAGTTCTCCTAACTCACCCTGCAATGAAGCAGCAGTTGGTTGGGTTATTTCTTGTTTTGTTTGTTTTTTACAACTTGTGTCTTTTTATTAAGAGAAAAATAATTCACCTTTTCTCCTGAGAATCCACGAGAGCCCTAAACAGAAGACAGAGGATTTAATGTTAGTGTTTTATTTCAATCTGGACAATAAAACTTCCATAAATCTTACCTTGAGACCTCTTGGTCCAGGACATCCCTGGAAACCTTGAGTACCATTCACACCAGGGTGTCCTCGTTCTCCCTGTAATTACACAAATGGACAAATGACGATCGGGCATCTAACGTCAGAACTCGTGCTCCACGTTTATTCCTCATGCTGGCAACTTTCCTCTGGTAGTTGAAAGTGGTGTTGTGAGATTCCTGCTAAAAGTGATACATGACTCCATAAAATCAGCATTGTATTCATTTCCTGTCCAGCAACACATGCCATTGTTTACCCCAAAATACCCAGAACAACAGTCTGCCACCACCACCGATTGAAGGATTTCGTCAGTTCCTCAGATTGTCTGTACCAACGCATTGGTGGAGCACAAAGTAATCAACAAACTTGACTTTTTAGAGGAAGTACAAAGAGCAATAAGGTTTCTGGTGTGGTCTCAAGTTTCCATTTATCTGTTTATTACTCTTCTTGGCCTCCTGTACTGGATGTGCCCTCTTGTTGCCTGAATACCTATTTTTTGGTGCCCCTTCTTCCACACCTCTACACCGCCATCACTGAGTCCATCTCCTCACCTCCTCCATCACTGCTGCTGCCACCACCAAGGACAGAGGCAGGCTGCAAGGCATCACCAGGACTACTGAAAAGATGGTCGACTGCAACCGGTCATCTCTGCAGGATCTGTACTCCGCCAGGACACTGAAGCGTGCAAGAAAGATTGCTGCCGACCCCTCCCACCATGGTCATCCTCTATTTAAACTGCTCCCCTCTGGCGGGAGGCTGCGGACCATGAGGACCAGAACCTCCAGCCACAGAAACAGCTTTTTCCCATCTGCTACATTCCTCACTAACAAGGCTCAGGTCTTAAAGGGACTGTTTATTGTGTACATATGTATAAGCATGCAAAACTCTATATTTATGTTGCACCGAGACACTGAATTAAATTCTTGTAAATGCAAATATACATGGCAATAAAAATGATTCTGACTCTGGCCATGGATTGATTTTTCATGCAGGTTGTCCTGCTAAATCAAACTCAAGTCTGTGCCTGGGTACCGACCAAATGCACTTCCTTGTTTCCTGACTGCCACCATCCTAAAGCATAACGTCTCAGTTCTGAAGGCTTTGATGATGAGTCACGGTCAGTGGTTTGGTGTGTCAATCCCAAACTTCTAAACTCAATCTCTAGTTTGGTGCAATGCTCTTGATCGACAAAATTATCTGAGCGCTTTGCTAAAGGTTGTATCTGTCCACCAGTAGCAAGTTGTGACTACAAGACCCATGCCTTCAGGTTGAATAATATATTGTTGCAACTCACTAAACAATAATTTTGACAACTCTACAAAGTCACTTTCTGATTTTGACAATTTAGCTTTACATTTTGTAAACTCACTTAAAAGAGGGTACTTCCCCCTTTTTATTAATCAGGTACAACATCTGACGTATGGTGTCACAGGAACAACCCACCTGAAAACGTCCATTCGCTTCTATCCCTCCAGCTCACTCGGTCTTATGCTAAGTACAACGTGTAATTTTAATAATTAAAACTGAATTTTAATAGCTATCAACATTGCTTACTGTTTCTTTAAAAAATCTATTATGTGCTAAAACCAAAAACACAACTCTTATTTTGAAAATCATGAATGTAAACCTAAATGTGATATTTAATCGTCATTCTTTCAGAGCAACTACCATTTCAGTGTGGCTTTTTGAATTTACAGGTTGCAACTGAATGCATCACAAATCTTCACACGGTCACAAAAATGGATTCTTGAAGGCGTACAGCTGCATGTTTTGGTCCCACCCACTCTACATCAACATTGTGATTGATTAGTCCAGTTCAGTCGGTTATTAAACAAACTCATCCTGTAGAGACTCTGACTGAACTCAGCCTTCTCTCCTGACAGTGAAGTCCTGACCAATGAGAAACAACCTTCAAACACGTTTCTGCCTGGAGACACAAATTTAAAATAATCTGATTGGACAATTAGATTTTCATGAATTACAAGGTTTCCAGTTCAACTGCAAAGTAGTTTACAGAAAATAAGATAAACTACAACATATATATATATATATATGTTGTATATGTATATCAAATAAACATTCAATAAAATGTTAAATATAGCTATTTAAATGCACGCCTTCTCTGAAGGTGTAGAAGGCCCTAATGATTCCCCACCACTGTACATTACACACTGCAAATTGCTTTTCACGGCAGAATAAGCTATCTTGACATGGTCACTGAACAGGATCTACATAAACAAAAAGATGGTAAATAAAATCAGAGCATCAAACTTACAGGCCCACCCTCATCACCAGGATGTCCTGGGCTTCCTGGTAATCCTGGACTACCCTAAAAGACAAATTAAACATGTTAGCTTGGCAAAAAAGCGTTATTATAGAAATGTATTTTAATTTAGGAGTTAAGTTTGCCTTAAGTCCTAGCAGTCCAACAGCTCCTCTGTCTCCTCTCGTACCAGTGCATTTGCACGGCACTCCACAGCACTCCCTCTCTGCAACATTGTCCTGAATGGGTAAAACAAGTATTTTTTAGGAAGTTGATGTAGATTTTCAGTCGTACATTTTCTTTGCAATACTTTTAATTTCTGGGTTGTAGGGTAGCTGGTGTCTACCTCCAGTGCTCATTGTGTGAGAGGCAGGGGACACCCTGGACAGTCCATCACAAGGACACATAGAGACAATTTAGTGTAGAGTTCTAGGAATAAGGCTGCTCAAGATGCTTCCTTTATTTAAACCTAATTTATATGCAGATTAATCTCACTCCCCATCATCTGAGGGTCATTAGGGGCTACAAGATGGGGAAATACTGGATAATTACCAAATGTTTCATATTTTAATAAACACAAGATAATTAAAAGATCTAAGTTGGATGTAAATTACTGTTGCTCACCAGTTCCTCAACGAGCTCATAGTCCAGGTCCATGACATTGAGTCTTAATGGTCTGGTGTACCTGAAGCCACGACCAAACTCCAACAACAGAGCCTCCTCAAACTTCTGCGCCCGCTCCAGTCCAACCAGAATGAAGCTGTTTACTCCTGTTTAGGATGAAGTTCATAAACCTACTTATCCTAGCTATGTTTAAGCGTGAGAGCTCTATGTGAAGCCAGCTGTTGGACATTTCAGCTGTATCTTTTTACCTGACAGATGAAGCTCCTCAACTTGTCTTTTCATTTCAGCATATGGGGCATCAAGACCATCAGTCAGATGAATAACAACCTTTAGAATTAAAAATAAAATGCATAAACTTTAGTTTTTTTTTATTGGTAAATGTAGATCAGAGATTGCTTGAGACATCTCCAGTTTGAACGGTTTCTAAAACCAACCTTGATGGTCTCATCCTGTCTGACTTTGAACCTGTCTTTATAGGCTGAGATTGTCCGACCATTGAGGATAAAGGGACCGCGACTCCGCAGGTCTTTGAAGGCCTCAAACAGCACATTAGGATTGTCTGTGAAGTCCAACTGCACAGCCGCAGAGGCAGAATCCAAGGCCAGAATACCCATTTGCACCGAGGGATTGCCCCCACCCGAGCAACTGATCGGTGTCATTTTGGAAATCCTCTGCAGAATGGCGCCCATCTTGCTCTGAAGGTTAGTCTGAGTATTGAAGATGTTCTGCCCTGACACATCAAAGCCTACCAACACCTCGATGTTGCAGGCTGTAAAACAGGATCATAGTACTTTAGGTATTTTTGTTGAACGTCTGAAAACACTCTTAAATCCATGAAGAAGTTTGATCTTAAACAGCTTAACTATAATAAAGTATTTTTCTCACTTTTAATCGCTTGTTGCTGATCATCACACACCGTCCCCTTTACTTCATCATCCAAAGCCTCCAGGATTTGCTCATTGAGCTCTGAAAGCCCCTGAAAGGTATCGGCTCGGGCAACAGTGGAAGTCGAGCTTGCCAGGCTTTCCAACTCGCTCAAAATGTCACCGACTCCCACAGCGAAAACCCTTACGCGTTTGTTTTTCAGACCCAGGACGGCCGACTTGCTGTCATCTGATGAGCGACCTCCAGTCACGACCATGAGGATTTGAGGAACACCTTCTTCAATCCTGCTGCCTTTCGCCTTCGTTAAATGAACATCTCCAATGTGGCGAATGGCAGCGCCAGTGTTGATTCTGACTCCACCCTTGTACTCTATTTCACCAATGGCATTTAGAACATCATCCCTGTTCTTGTATGTGTTCAGGAAAAAGCCATCAACCACATCTGTGGCGTACTGTGCGATGCCAATTCGCAGGTCATCTCTCTCTGTGTAGAACAGATCGATCAGGTTGATTATGAAGTCTCTGACTTCGTTGAAGTTCTTTCGGCCCAAGTTGTTAGATCCATCCATGAGAAAAACAATATCAGCTCTTTTAGATGGGATTTGTCCTTCGGCTAAAAAGAAAAGACATAAAGGTAGAATGAAAAATATGTTGATACTGAGAAAATCAATAGGCCACAATTGAAATACAAGCTCAGAGAGGGAATGTATCATTTCTGCTTTGGATTTTGAAGCTCTGACACCCTTCCTGAGTGGCAAAGTATTCATCAATATGCGCACTGCAGGACTGGTGGTATAACAAGACACTATCATTTTTTAATATAATGATGTTGATCTCCAGAGGGATGTGTTCCACCTATCAAAGAGTCCGTAGACCACTGACATTAAAAATGTCCAAATCTGGACTGAATCTCTTGTTTCCTAATACTTATTTGTACTTTGTTTCTATACCAGGAACAATTGCAGAGCAAAGCCTGTATGCCTGGCAGAATTTAGACTTTCTTTATAAGATTAGGGAATAAAGGAAACCTAATCAACATTCTGGTTGTGACTCAAACAGTCTTTTGACCTGCTGACATTTTGCACACGGGTGCAATCATTTTATAGAATCCACTGAGCCATCAATGACATGTAAGCACAGCTTTGAGTCAGCTAAAAATGATCTCAAGGCTGACTTTACTCTTTGGAACAAGACAATTCCTTTTCTGTATCATTATCTGTATCTGTAACCGTCTCTCTTCAGACATCCTGACAAACTTGTATTGCTGCAATAATAAGAGCATCCTAAGTAAGTAAATGCTATGTGTTGTCATCATTATATGTTGCCATTCAATGATGAAATTAGTTCTCTGCATTTAACTCATCATACACGAGATACACCCAGGTGGAACAGTGGGCAGCTGTGTAGGCACCTGGGGCACAATTAGGGACCTGGTGTCTTGCTCAGGGTCATCATGACTTGTGGGCATAGCGGGGAATTGCACTGTGATTTTCTGGTCCCACGTTGGCTGCCCTACCTCTACACCATCTCAGACCCCAACTGATAACCAACTGTATTACAGTCTGCTATGGGAACGGCTCTGTTTTGGACCAGAAGGTATTGCAGAATGGGGTGAAAACCACCCAGCATTGGAGTTGGAGCCTTCCTTCTTGCCACTGAAGACATCTACAGGAAGTGCACAGACTGTTTATCCTCCTTCCCTCTGGGAGGCACTACAGGAGCATCAATACTACAAGATTTATGAACAGCTCTTTCCCTGTCTCCCTGCTTAACTCTGCTCCTCAACATCTCACTTGGTCCCACACACATTCAACAACCCCTCTGGACTGGTGAACCCTTGCAAAAAGGACCTGCGACAACAGGCCTCACAGACAAAAGGACAGTTGCTCGGATCATTGTCCAACTTACTTTTGACTATTTGTCTACATTACAGACTATAAAGAACATCTTTTATTTTTTTTCATCACATACAAGCAAAAACGTTTCAGATATAAAGATCTGTAACGTTCCTAATCCATGACTGGTCAATCTCTTGGCACAGTCGGTTGAACACTTTTTTAAAATGTTGTTTATGCTTTCTGTGCTTTGAAGTTGCTCATCATATAATCTGCATTCTCATTCAGTCAAGAGTTTTTTTTTATTCCACTCAGTAGACCTTAACCAAATCCTGGAATATTTTCAGTGCAGTCATGTGCATTCCCTCTCTAATCATGCAGATATGAATTGCAAACAAAATTTTGAAAAAGTTAGAATGTTGTTTTTAAAATGTAAATATAAACAAATTTAAATGATTTGCAATTCACATAAACCCATATTTTCACTCACATTGGATTATAGAAAGCATATCAAAAGTTGAAACTAGAAAATTTTACTCTGGAAAAAAAAATGGTGATTTTGAATTTTTATGGCAGCAATACGTCTCAAAAAAGTTGTACCGCAGCAACAAGGGCTGTAAAGATAAGTGGTCCGTCTAACAAACAGCTGGTGGAGCATTTTGTAGCTAATGAGGTCAATTATCAACAGGTCAGTCAGAGGACGGAGTATAAAAAGAGAGACTTTTAGAAGTAAAGATGGGCAAAGGTTCACCAGTCTGAGAAAACATTTTAGAATAATATCCAGTTCATAATCTGATCAACAGATTAGAAGAATCTGTAGAAACCTGAGCTCAAAGGATGAGGCTGAATGCTTATACGGGATGGTCGTGATCTTTGGGTCCTTAGGGACCACTGCATGAAAACCAGGTCTGGTTCTGTTCTTGGCTCAGGACGACTTCCACAGATCATTGTCTGTAAACACAGTTCATCCACAGCTGTTGCTTAAAGCTCTATCAGTCAAAGAAGAAGCCAGATGTGAACACCATCCAGAACCTCTGCCGTCTTCTCTGGACCAACAACATCTGCTCTAATCAAGCAAAGAAGACTAAGAACTGATGAACAGCTAGAGTTCTCCATCAAACCAGATGGGGACGGCATTTCTTCTAAAACCTCCAACAATGGGTCTCTTTAGGATCTCCAAAACCTCCAACAACTGGTCTCCTCAGGTCCTCCAAAACCTCGAAGAACTGGTCTCCTCCAGTCCTCCAAACCCTCCAACAACTGGTCTCCTCAGGTCCTCCAAAACCTCTAACAACTGGTCTCCTCCAGTCCTCCAAACCCTCCAACAACTGGTCTTCTCAGGTCCTACAAAACCTCCAAGAACTGGTCTACTCGGGTCCTGACTTTTACAGACTGTTGTTAAAAGAAGAGGAGATGCTTCACAGAGAGAAACAAGTTTGTTTCTGCCATCAAATACAGAAATCCATATTTTAAAAGGTAAATTTGATGCATTTACTGTGTTCCATTATTAATAAAATAAGGATTAGTGAGATTTGCAAATCACTGCGTTCTGATTATTTTTTTTTTACATTTTACACAACATCACAACTTTTTCACAATTTGGGTCTTATGCATAAAAACAACTTACTAGGAAAGTCAATTTCCGTTGGACCTTGCAGTGGGGTTCCACTCAGTCTGGCTATAAACCTTTCTTTTGTTGCAGGCAGGCTGGGAAATGAAGGAATGTTAAGAACATCTTCGGAGGCTGTGGCAATTTGTCTCAGCTGACTTATGTCAGCTTTGCCAGTTCCAAGAGCAATGCAGTTCACTTTCTTGTTCTTAAGCAAAGGCCCAGAGACGGAGACTGGTTGGGCTGAGGGTCCACCCGTGAGGACCACAAGATACTGCGAGGCATCAGACAGGCGAACGCCAGCTGTTGGTTTGAACTCGTTCTCTAACACGTAGTCGATGGCGTTAGCCAGTAGTGAGGAGCGTCCGCCCAACTGACGAAGTCTTTTCACGGCAGAGAGCACAGCTTGCTTGTTGTTGTGCGAGTTAAGAGAGAACTCTGTTTTCATTCTGTCTGCGTACTGAACGACACCCACTCGCACTTTATCGGGCTGCACATTGAGCTGTTGGACAATGCTGACGATGAAGTCTCGAATATGAGCAATCCCATCAGGACCTGTGCTGTCCGAGCCATCAATGAGGAAGATGATGTCCTTTTTACCTAGATCAATGGTAACTGCAAAAACAAGTACAAGTTATTTTAAAAATGCATATTGTTTGTTCATCCTTCCACTATAGCTGTCAAAATGAAAATGAATTCTAATCAACAAACAGAGTTACAAGCGTCAGCTGTTTCAGTCAAAATGAAACCCTAGACTATCTTTTAACTTTAAGACAATAAGTATTCCTTAGGGTAAAAGAATCAAAATTTTGCTTTAAAATACTTTTCTTTTTTGTTTTTACATTTTCTCTACAACAAACCAGTCATTCTCTGAGCGCTATATCTCTTAAAATCAATTTTAAAACTTTTTTTTTTAATTCTTAACTCCTTAAGAGCCTTTAGTTACAAGAAACTCCACATTTATTTATTTTTTTAAAGCAAGAAAATATTTACTTTGTGGCCATTTTTAAGGTATTGTTCTTCGATAGTATGCACAATTTGTTTTTGTTGACAATTTAAAAAATAATTCCAGTCTTCAGTTTTGAGAAGATCATCCTGGCCACCGAACTCCAGAACCAGTAGCCAAGAATGATGCCTCGTTTTTAGTCAGAGTTGCACAATTCGGTCAGACACAGAGTTTGCTTTTATTTGTTTTAATAAACTTTTGTTAGAAGCACTTGCATTTTACTCGTTCACAATGCCAGTTTATGCTTCTTTTTTTTACTTGGACAGAACAGACCATTGAGCTTTTGCAGCATGATGTGTCCGCTGCTGACATCCTGATTTCATTCAAGCCAAAAGGAGTCGGCCGTCCTGAGCCGTGGAGCATCCGATTCTTCAGTTTGCATGTAGGCCTTTGTGGAACTGCTTTTGAACTAAATACTTTACTCGTTCAGTGCCAATGTGTTTTTGCTTGTTACATCCAACCTAAAACACTTTTGTTTAACAAGATGAGCGACTGGACTCCACGTTGACAGCCAGGCATGAAAGATGCGCCTCTTCCAGTTACCTTTCAGCCCTTTGCCGGTGACTTTTACAGAGGTTCTCAAATGTAAAAATGAAGCATTACTCAGTGAACTACAGTAGTCCCTCACTACGTTGCGGTTCATTTTTCGCGGACTCTCTCTATCGCGGTTTTTCAAAATAAAGTTGGACATGACACACAATTGGCTGATTGATGGATGAGCCGCACGATCAGCATGGAATTTGTATTTAAATTGAATTATTTAAAATTATTTAGAACCTGCTGCACATTTGTGCAGCCCACAGCTACAGAAAAAGCTTCCTTCTGCACTTTTGTGCCTCCCGCTGCAGGATAAATTTCCTCCTGCAGCTGATCAGCTGCTCTCCGTGCAGAGCGGAAAGTGGGCATGGCCAAGAGTGCCTGCAGGTGGCTGAGAGTAGTGGAGGCACAGAGAGGGAAATCATGACATTCTGTGCTCTTTTAAAGCGTTTAGAGTTCAGAAGCATTGTTTGGAATATTGCAAGAGTGTGGGAAAGGTTTAAAACGGCGTTTTTTCACTTATCGCATGAGTTCAGGGTACGGATCCACCGCGATAATCGAGGGACTACTGTAATATAAAAATCAAAAGTATAGTGATAATGGATTATTTAAAAAAAAACATTACCGAAAGGAATGCATAATATGATATGACAAATATGAGTTAAAAATGCATTTATAATAGATTTCAATATGGTCGATGTTTCACCAAAAGGACACTAGAGGGCTGTAATTTTACCAGGAGGTTTTGGGGGTGTTTCAGATAATTCAAACAAAATAAAAACATTTTAGAAGAGTTTTTAGCCTTTGTCAGGAATGATCATGTTTACTGATAGCATTAAAATAAGTAAATTATAAGGAAAAAACATGAACCAAAATAGATACATGGCAAATCTTTTCCCCATATGACCTGAGGGTTAAATATAAATGCATTATTGTAAATAACTTCTTACCGATTTCCACAGTTGGAACATAACTTCTGATGTCAGTGCTGGATATTGTTTCGACTGATCTAAGCAGTTGTGACTCCACTCTTGGAAGTTGCCGGAAACTGTCAACAGAGTATACAAGCTCTGGCTTCAGGGAAATCAGTCTCAGTTCATCCATGTCTGCATTCCTCGAACCAATGGCAAGAGGTGCAACCTGATTTCTCTTGAGCTGGTCAGCTTGTTGGGATACATCATCTGAAGATTTTCCACCTGTAACTAGGATGAGGAACTGAGGCACGCCTTCTTCAACTCGGCTTCCCGCAGACCTCTGGAAGATGTTTCTATTGACCCACTCCATAGCACGACCTGTGTTAAGAAGATTTCCACCTTTGCTTCGAAGTCTTCCCACGGCCTGCCGTACTTCACTTTTGGATGAGTGCTCGTTAAGAAGGAATTCTGCGTTTGCGTCATCACTGTACTGCACCACAGAAACTCGAACTCTGTCTAATCCTACATCCAGCTTGTCCACAACTCTTGTTATCATGTCTCGGATAGAAGAAAACTCGTTACGTGATGCTGTTGAGCCATCAATGAGAAATACAACATCCCTCTTATCTCCTGTCACAGGTGGTGGTGTGATTACTGTTCAAAAAGGAATACAACCACAGGAAGGAATGGTGGTTAATGCTTACTTAGTTACACATAGACATACAAAATCCAACAGTTTTAAATATATCATGGTAGGGCCAATAGCATGTGCAAATTTACTCTAGCCTGTTCTTGAGATGCATTTAAGTAATTACCCTGAAAAGTTGGGAACTCTGGCCTCAACCTTGCGATGTCGTCATCTGACATCTCTGTTAGTTTGTTGATTAGAGTGTCTTGGACTGTGTACAAGCCAGGCAGGTCATCCACAGTGAAGGCAAAACCGGACACAAATGACGATATTCGCAGCTCTGTCGGGTTGACATCTCTGGTGCCGATGCTGAAAGGAATAACTCTGGATTGTTTGAGGGAATTGGCTTCACGTTGTATGTCATCTGTAGAGGGCCCACCTGATACAACGATTGCAAACTGTGGCACTCCCTCTTGCTTTCTGCTACCTCTTCCTGGTATCATAACATCCTGCCTTAGAAACCTCAAGGCCTGGCCCAGATTACGCTGCCTCCCTCCTCGCTGCCTCATTTCTCTGATGCCTTTCAAAACACCTTCTTTTGTTGTGTGGCTATTCAGAAACATGTCAGCGTCAGGATAATCGCCATACTGGACCACACCAATCCGGATCTTGTTTTCGCCCACATTGAGATTGTCCACCACCCTCCGGATGAACTCCTGGATGATAGCAAATTCCCGTCCAACATTGTCAGAACCATCAACAATGAAAACGATATCCTTCTTAGGGCCCTGTGATTCAGCTGAAAAATTGAAAGAAAAAAATACATGTTATTCTGTTTTAGAGGTGCTATAAATATGAAAAACAGATATTTTATGCAGTTGAAAATCAACATATGATAGCAGCTTGTGGACTTTGTGACGAGCCATTTTTGTGCAAGAGCCCTGCAGAGCAAGTGGTTCATACTTTAATTGTAGTTGACAGTTGACACATATTAGAAACATGTCTCGCAACTGAAAGAGCAACTCAGCAGAGTGCAAAGGAGGCAACAGAAAAAAGTGATTTGTTTACAGCAGTTTGCAGTGAATGAGGATTGCTGCCAATCCACAATGATTTAAGTCTTATCATGATCAAGATTTCATGTACTGTATTTTGGATGTTTTCGTGAAATTGACTATTCAGATGAAAACAGTAGCAGTACACAGGAGAGAAAATCAAAGTAGTATTAATTTAAAAGACAAGAAAGTCTTTAATTTAACCATTAATGCATTATACAGTGAGGTAAGGACCAACACATTCTCTCGTTATGAAACTTAGTTTCTGTGAAAGGTAACTTTTTAGCTATTTGTCCTTCATTTTGTTCTTAAGATCAATACAAATGATAAATAAAAGTCAGAGCTAAACTCGCCAAGCTCTACATTCATTTTGCATCATCTATTTTCTGTAAAGATTTAACTAAAAAAAATGGATGAAAACACCTGATGGCAAACAGCAGACCACATGTATGAGAAGAAAAAGTAAAGCGGTAAAAATGTAAACATTATTAAGTATTCATGTAACTCCTTGTCTTCTAAAAATTATTTCAGCTACAGAAGTTATTTGTCAAAATCTGGTATTACAATCATGCTTAAAGAATGCTAAGGAAAAGACAGATGTAAAAATGTAAACTTTCTGTCAATGTAGAACAAAAAAAAGTTGTTAAAATAACATTTTAAAAATAATAATAATAATAAAAATAAAAATAAGTTGTTTTGAAAAAAAAAAGAAGCTAGAAAACATCCTTAATGACATACATACCTAGGGTGGGGGGAGATTGTGAGGCGATATTAACTGTAACATTATCAGTATAAAGTTGGAGGACTTTGTCAACACTGTCAAGGTCATTGTATTCAGACACAGATATAGTATAACTGGGCTTGTGGGATACTCTCTGGAGTTCTCTTATGTCAGAGCCTCTGTTTCCAATTGTAAAGATCCGGACACCCATCTGTTTGAGAGCAAATGCTGGTGCGTCAATATTATCAGAAGATCTTCCTCCACTTAGCAATGTTAGGAGCTGTGGAACTCTTTGCAAGTGCCTGCTTCCAGCAGAGGCAGTGAAAATGTTATCCTTCAAGTACTGGAGAGCTGCTCCAGTATTGAGGGGACTTCCACCTTTGTGCCTCAAACCTCTGACAGTGTCAAGGATCTGGCTTTTTGTTCTATGCGTGTTAAAATAGAACTGGACAGCTGGATCTTTGCTGTACTGAACCACTGAGACGCGGTCTTTCTTGTCATCCACACTGAGTGTTTTCACTACTTTTTCCACAAAGTCTCGCATAGCTGGGAATTGGGTTCTGGTACCATCGGATCCATCTAGCAAGAACACATAATCCTTTCCTGCTGGCTTTCTTTCCACTAGGGAACACAGGATTGGACACATAATTAGGTCTTAGTAACAAACCCCTCCTATATAGGAGTCAGAAAATAAAAGCTAACCCCTAAGAGCAAAAGTGTATCTTTCTGTTGGTAGAACCGTCTTTTGTTCCATTTAGAGATAAGTTCACCTAAACTTTGCAAAATGTATGTTAGCACAGTTCAGGATGTGTTCAACTATGATTTTAAAAAGTAAAACGTTTCATAACCTTACCAGTCACTGTTGGTGTCAAAGGTGTAGCACTTAACTTCACTGTGCTCATTAAAGATAAGAGCTGCTCTTGGGCACTAAGGAGGTCAGTGTACTCAGTCACTGAGAGAGCGTACCTAGCCTCAAATGATATTTTCTGTAGCTCTCTAGCGTCAGAGGTTCTGGTTCCAATACCCAACACAACAATGCCTTGTTGTT